AGTTCTGTCCTATAGTGCACTAGTTCTGTCCTATAGTGCACTAGTTCTGTCCTATAGTGCACTAGTTTTGTCCTATAGTGCACTAGTTCTGTCCTATAGTGCACTAGTTCTGTCCTATAGTGCACTAGTTCTGTCCTATAGTGCACTAGTTTTGTCCTATAGTGCACTAGTTCTGTCCTATAGTGCACTAGTTCTGTCCAATAGTGCACTAGTTCTGTCCAATAGTGCACTAGTTCTGTCCTATAGTGCACTAGTTCTGTCCAATAGTGCACTAGTTCTGTCCTATAGTGCACTAGTTCTGTCCTATAGTGCACTAGTTCTGTCCTATAGTGCACTAGTTCTGTCCTATAGTGCACTAGTTCTGTCCTATAGTGCACTAGTTCTGTCCAATAGTGCACTAGTTCTGTCCAATAGTGCACTAGTTCTGTCCTATAGTGCACTAGTTCTGTCCAATAGTGCACTAGTTCTGTCCTATAGTGCACTAGTTCTGTCCTATAGTGCACTAGTTCTGTCCAATAGTGCACTAGTTCTGTCCAATAGTGCACTAGTTCTGTCCTATAGTGCACTAGTTCTGTCCAATAGTGCACTAGTTCTGTCCTATAGTGCACTAGTTTTGTCCTATAGTGCACTAGTTCTGTCCAATAGTGCACTAGTTCTGTCCTATAGTGCACTAGTTTTGTCCTACAGTGCACTAGTTCTGTCCTATAGTGCACTAGTTAATAATGATATTTATTCATAACGGACTGAAACCTCGTCAGCTCAACCCCCTCATCTCTATTTTCAGATGTGTAAGTTGGGTGTCAGATGTGTAAGTTGGGTGTCAGATGTGTAAGTTGGGTGTCAAATGTGTAAGTTGGGTGTCAGATGTGTAAGTTGGGTGTCAGATGTGTAAGTTGGGTGTCAGATGTGTAAGTTGGGTGTCAGATGTGTAAGTTGGGTGTCAAATGTGTAAGTTGGGGTGTCTGCACTAGCCAAACCCCACTTGGAATATACTGATAAATCTTAACCACACTATTACAGAATGGGCATAAAATCTGTCGACAGTATTTTCAACGTGTATTGAAAAAGTTAATCGCTAGTATTAGAATTGTTCATTACTAAGGCTGGACCTGAGCTTACGTTCCCTTGAGCTGGAGGACCACGGCAGACATGACCCGAGTCGTCAACAGTGGATGATAGGCACTTGCAAACAGATGTAAACAAGATTATAACTTGTAAGAATAGCCATAAATTAGATGAATTAAGGTTGCTCCAAGACCATTGCTTTACCCCTGTTCAGTCCACCAGGAAATGTAACAATTTGTATGAATTGTTAACGAAGAGAACTTAATATTCTGCTTCTGGTACAAGCAAAAAATTGTTTTTCAGTGCAGAAGTAAAAAAATTGTTTGCTAGCATTATTCAGGCTAACTAGTTTACCAATCATGATAATTTTAATGAGATAAAATGTTTGGATCCAAGGTGGACCTGCATCGAATAGGCCAGTAGGCCTACTACAGTGTTTGTTACTCCCCGTGTTCTGATGCACGTGGCTAGGCCTAGAATAGAGCGCCATGCTGGCGAGTATATCTACCTGGGAGTGGTGTTGGGGAGGGCGGCATTTGTCACCCTTGTCACCTTTGATCTCCTCGTGTCCGTCACTGGCGTCTGAAGGGCCGCGTTAAGACAGCACATGATGTATACAAGGAAATTACGCGTGTCAAACATCACCACGCTGGCAGCTTTGTCTGTGTTGTGAACTATTCTAAGAAAAGGTCTGGTCAGGGACGAGGCTCGTCTGTCACCACTTTGATACACGTCAGCACCTTGCTACACGTCAGCACCTTGCGTCACGTCAACACCTTGCGTCACGTTAACACCTTGCTACACGCCAACACCTTGCTACACGTCAGCACCTTGCGTCACGTCAACACCTTGCGTCACGTTAACACCTTGCTACACGTCAACATGACGCAACACCTCAGCACTCTGCGACATCCGTCATTGCGTGACGCACACACCAGCAGTCTACGGACATAATCCCCACATATAAGACACCCAGGACCTCATCTTCAGTCAGCCGCTGAAGCGACAAATTTGTCGTCATCCCGCGCCGTTATTCTGTGACTCGGAGCGATTAGTTCCCCCCGGGGAGGCTCATCCCCGACCCCGGTGTGTGTGTGTGTGTGTGTTGTGTGTGTGTGTGTGTGTGTGTGTGTGTGTGTGTGTGTGTGTGTGTGTGTGTGTGTGTGTGTGTGTGTGTGTGTGTGTAACTTCCTGCATGACTGATGCTGCACCAGAATAGTCATGCTATATACAGACTCTTACACACCTGCCCCCTCCACCACCACCGGCCAGGTGTGTCCCTCTCACCACCCACCAGGTGTGTGTTCCCAACCCTCCCTCCCCCCCACACACACATTTTCCAAGTGAAGGCGTAAACGCAGTCCTGGTTGCTTAATTTAGCAGAAGGAAATGCTTGTGGCGGATGGGTTCACAAATGTCTTATTCTCTCTCTCTCTCACTCTCTCACTCTCTCTCTCTCTCTCTCTCTCTCTCTCTCTCTCTCTCTCTCTCTCTCTCTCTCTCTCTCTCTCTCTCTCTCTCTCTCTCTCTCTCTCTCTCTCTCTCTCTCTCTCTCTCTCTCCATCCGACCTTTAGAAGATGGCCTCCACACAGACTCCAGCACCTCACATGCCACAGGGAAGACGCCCCAGCATCTTGGGGCACAAGCTTCGATTTACACCCATGTATTTAAAGGTAAGGTCAGGCAGGCGAGACTCCTGCAACAGATCCATTGATCATGGGGGCCGTATTGAGATCTTGATCATAATAACTTAATTTGACTTGAAGGGTAGCTACTGATAAAGAGAAGTGGAGCTCTAGCTCTTGGCACCGACCAGCGCGCTTATCCCAGCTCACCAGAAGGCTAAAGAGACGTGATTCATATGTATCACTTGCAAATGTCTTACATATGTACACAGAAACGTGTCTTACATATGTACACAGACACATGTCTCACATATGACACAGATACATGTCTCACATATGTACACAGTTACAATGTCTCACATATGTACACAGAAACATCAGGGCGGACAAATCATGTGCTACATTACATTATGTGTGGATACTTCATGTAGTTGTGGAAATGCCTTACTGTGTTAAAAGTGAGCAGCAACAATGAAGCAGCAGCCACACACTTGTCAACACCAACAATGAAGCAGCAGCAACAGTCACTGACCATCGCCGCCACGTGAAGGAAGAGTATGGGAGAAAGAGCTGTCCACCTCAGGAAACGTGCTTCACGCCTCAGTTTGAAGTTTCTCCGCTTGTTGAGGCTGGGTCGGTGTTTGTGGGTAGAGGCTTAGACAAAGCCTCCAAACACACGGCCAGGTGGCATAACAAGCACACGGAGCGGTGCCCGGGCACTGCGTGCCTCAGCCCCTCACGGGCACTCATTTTTTGGTGGGGCCTATTCCTCATTGGCTACCTTTTCCAGTACTATTCCTCATTTTCCAGTACTATTCCTCATTCCTCATTGTACATAGCCGACCTACACCTTCCTTTGCTGGCAACTGTCAGAATGTCTCGTCTTGAAAGAGCCATGATGGCGTCTGGTTAGCATTGAATCTTTATATTTCCGGTGTTTGAATCAGCAATGGTAACTTACTGGACGCTGAGAGGGATAGCTGCATCCTGGTCTTCTGGTGCTGCATTCAGACTCATCCGTATGAGCCGGATAGCAGTTAAGAGCCGGAATATGCAGCACCGGCATGGAGCCCTCACTCTGTGAAACTAAGAAAATATAGATGGTTCATTGATTAGGGTCAAGATTAATATTAGAATACATCTGTGCTCTGACCATAGACGAAGAGTTGGAACTGCAGCCATGAGAGGTGAGAAGAACCACAAGACACAGGAAAATGACCCAAGCCGTTCTGGGAAGCATAAACAATTTAGATGAATATAAACTATTGCAGGTAAAGCTAAGAAGAACGAGAGACGATGTGTATCAGATAATATATGGTTCCCATTGGAGAGCCAGTAAGCAGGCTGTCCTCCAAGAAGCCACCCACAACAGTTGCCTAACTCCCAGGTAACTATGTACTTGCTAGGTGAATAAAGGCATCGAGTGTAAGGACACGTGCACAAACGTCTCGCCCTGCTCGGGAATCGAACGAGGAATCAATCGGATGTGAGCCAAGTGCGGTAACCACTGCGCCACGGAGGCCGAGAACACGGGGGGTGGAGGCGAAGGTCACAACACCTCAACACTACAGCTCCGTAAAGCAGATATTATAATAATTTTCAGCTGTGAGTGTACTGGCAGCGGGGAACACGTTCAAGACGAGCCGGGCCCAAGAGCTATTCATCACCCGCCTGCAGCCACACTATTAGACCAGCACCCTCCCAGCACCCCGCCTCTTCCGCCCCCAACACCCTCCCAGCACCCCGCCTCTTCCGCCCCCAACACCCTCCCAGCACCCCGCCTCAGCCTAACAATTTGTGTATATTTCCCCAACATTCTTGAAACAAACTTCGCTCCTCATTTTACCAGCTGGTCGCTCGTTTGCTGCTCACCTTAATGGGCCATTCTGTCTACAACGTAGATCACCCTCTCCCCTCACCCCTCATACCCCTCACACACTCTCACCCTTCCTCCCTCACTCTCTCTCCCCTCCTCCCTCACTCTCTCACCCCTCCTCCCTCACACACTGACCCCTCCTTTCTCACACACTTACCCTCACCCTCACACTTTCACCCTCCCCATCACCCACGCACCGTTCCCTCTCATACTTTAGCCCCCCCTCACAATCTCACCTCCCCATCACACACTCTCCCTGACCCACTCACACTCACCACAGTCCACTCACGCTCTCACCTTGGCCTCACACTGCTTGTGCTGCATACAAAATGTCTGGAAAGTTAGTGGCCAAGACAGAGGAAGATAAATTCCTGCGAGGGATTTACTGGCGGCCTTTGTAACACTACACGAGAATGTCGCTTGTTCTCTGAAGAAGCCTACACTGCGGGCTCTGAAGAAGCCTAAACTACGGGCTCTGAAGAAGCCTACACTGCGGGCTCTGAAGAAGCCTGCACTACGGGCTCTGAAGAAGTCTACACTGCGGGCTCTGAAGAAGCCTACACTGCGGGCTCTGAAGAAGCCTACACTGCGGGCTCTGAAGAAGTCTACACTGCGGGCTCTGAAGAAGCCTAAACTACGGGCTCTGAAGAAGCCTACACTGCGGGCTCTGAAGAAGCCTGCACTACGGGCTCTGAAGAAGCCTAAACTACGGGCTCTGAAGAAGCCTACACTGCGGGCTCTGAAGAAGTCTACACTGCGGGCTCTGAAGAAGCCTAAACTACGGGCTCTGAAGAAGCCTAAACTACGGGCTCTGAAGAAGCCTACACTGCGGGCTCTGAAGAAGTCTACACTGCGGGCTCTGAAGAAGCCTAAACTACGGGCTCTGAAGAAGCCTACACTGCGGGCTCTGAAGAAGTCTACACTGCGGGCTCTGAAGAAGACTACACTGCGGGCTCTGAAGAAGCCTACACTGCGGGCTCTGAAGAAGCCTACACTGCGGGCTCTGAAGAAGTCTACACTGCGGGCTCTGAAGAAGCCTAAACTACGGGCTCTGAAGAAGCCTACACTGCGGGCTCTGAAGAAGTCTACACTGCGGGCTCTGAAGAAGTCTACACTGCGGGCTCTGAAGAAGCCTACACTGCGGGCTCTGAAGAAGTCTACACTGCGGGCTCTGAAGAAGCCTACACTGCGGGCTCTGAAGAAGTCTACACTGCGGGCTCTGAAGAAGCCTACACTGCGGGCTCTGAAGAAGCCTAAACTACGGGCTCTGAAGAAGCCTACACTGCGGGCTCTGAAGAAGTCTACACTGCGGGCTCTGAAGAAGCCTAAACTACGGGCTCTGAAGAAGCCTACACTGCGGGCTCTGAAGAAGTCTACACTGCGGGCTCTGAAGAAGTCTACACTGCGGGCTCTGAAGAAGCCTACACTGCGGGCTCTGAAGAAGTCTACACTGCGGGCTCTGAAGAAGTCTACACTGCGGGCTCTGAAGAAGCCTACACTGCGGGCTCTGAAGAAGCCTACACTGCGGGCTCTGAAGAAGCCTACACTGCGGGCTCTGAAGAAGCCTACACTGCGGGCTCTGAAGAAGCCTACACTGCGGGCTCTGAAGAAGCCTACACTGCGGGCTCTGAAGAAGTCTACACTGCGGGCTCTGAAGAAGCCTACACTGCGGGCTCTGAAGAAGTCTACACTGCGGGCTCTGAAGAAGTCTACACTGCGGGCTCTGAAGAAGTCTACACTGCGGGCTCTGAAGAAGCCTACACTGCGGGCTCTGAAGAAGTCTACACTGCGGGCGCTGAAGAAGCCTACACTGCGGGCTCTGAAGAAGCCTACACTGCGGGCTCTGAAGAAGCCTAAACTACGGGCTCTGAAGAAGTCTACACTGCGGGCTCTGAAGAAGTCTACACTGCGGGCTCTGAAGAAGCCTACACTGCGGGCTCTGAAGAAGTCTACACTGCGGGCGCTGAAGAAGCCTACACTGCGGACGCTGAAGAAGCCTACACTGCGGGCGCTGAAGAAGCCTACACTGCGGGCTCTGAAGAAGTCTACACTGCGGGCTCTGAAGAAGTCTACACTGCGGGCGCTGAAGAAGCCTACACTGCGGGCTCTGAAGAAGTCTACACTGCGGGCGCTGAAGAAGCCTACACTGCGGGCGCTGAAGAAGCCTACACTGCGGGCGCTGAAGAAGCCTACACTGCGGGCGCTGAAGAAGCCTACACTGCGGGCGCTGAAGAAGCCTACACTGCGGGCGCTGAAGAAGCCTACACTGCGGGCGCTGAAGAAGCCTACACTGCGGGCGCTGAAGAGGCAAGGATTTCCTGAGGCTTCTACTGAAACCGGAACAGGATTGTCACACACTCCCCCCAAGCACTCAGACACTGTCACCTTGGACCTGTTCTACCTCTGACGCTCCTCTTTCAATACACAGAGTATTGAATCTCTGTGTATTGAAAGAGGAGCGTCAGAGGCCTTCCTCCGTCCGAAAGAGGAATCCGCCTTTTTCTCTTCCCTATCCACCTTTTCTCTCTCTCTTCCTTCTTCTGCACCTCTTCCTCATCGCCAGGGTCTAGCAGGCACGTAGCTCGACTCCCAAGACGAGGTAATGACCTTGACGCTACACGTCACTTGTAAACATTGAAGGGTTACAAAGGCTTGTCTGCCTCGGGAAGTTTCATCTGGTGCTCTCTGTGCCCGGTGTTCCAGGCAGGTGAAACCTTCCTGGCGAGGCGTCCCAGGCAGAGGAGAACCTTCCAGCTTGCGCTGTATCTTGTGGTGAAGCTCAGACCACTCAGAGAGGCGTGGGAGTGATACCAGAGAGGGACGATGAGTGTGGGTGTACTCACCTATTTGTGCTTGTAGGGGTTGAGCTCTGGCTCTTTGGTCCCGCCTCTCAACCGTCAATCAACTAGTGTACAGGTTCCTGAGCCTACTGGGCTCTATCATATCTACATATCTACAGATGTGTCACATAGATGTTAGAAAGTTTTCTCTTAGCGTAAAGTTAGTGAGTAAGTGGAATGACCTAAAGGAGCAGATTGTAGAGGCTAACTCCAATCATAACCTTACAACCAGGTATGATAGGGAAATAGGTCAGGAGTCACTGCATTAGACAACCAGCAGCTAGGAAAGTGGGTTCTAAGAGCTAGAGCTCGGTCCTGCAGACACAAATACGTGAGTACACAAGCACGCGCCAGAGTGCCTGGTGATAGCACTAGCGGAAGTAAAGAGTGAAAACAGATTACTCTCGTTCCCCTTCCAGCCTCTTACTTCCCCTTCCCTATCATCTCCCTTCCCTCTCCCCCACACACCTTACCTCTCTCTTCTCACCCCCCATCTTCCCTCCCCCAGCCTCGAGACCCTCCCCCCGGGGGCACCAGTCGCCAGCCCCCCCCTCGGGGGCACCAGTCGCCAGCCCCCCCCCTCGGGGGCACCAGTCGCCAGCCCCCCCCCCTGTGTGTGGTGGAGGGAGGGGCCCTCAACCCCTGGGGTCCCTCCTTGTGTGTGGTGGAGGGAGGGGGCCCTCAACCCGTGGGCCCCTCCCCGTGTGTGCTTACCTAGAAGTACCTACAGGATGTCTTCCTAGCCTCACCTTCCCAACGTTCTCAGATGAATGCACTGACGCATTTCTCACGTTTTTACCACATTTACATTTGAAATTTGTAATTGAATTAGCTTCAGTATTGTTCTATTCACTGACTACTCTAACACTGAAACATTCTTCCAGACTGTGATTATTTGTGTCTCCAGTTTCCGTCTATGACTCCTTGTTCTGCTGTTCCTTGCTTTATTCAACGCTGCTTCGTCTGGTTTGTCAAGCATCCTTAGAATCTTATATGTAGTCATCATGTCTCCCTATCTCTCCCTTCCTTCCGTGTAGTAAGGTCTAGTTTTCTGAATCATTTCTCATATTGCTCAATTCTTTCACGTCTGGAACGTGTTTCGATGCGTATCTTTTGACCTTTTCTAGTTTCTCCTTGTCCTTTCTCGGGTAAGGGTTCCATGCTGGGGATGCATATTCAAGTGTGGGTCTCACCTTCGCTGTCTCTAGGGCCGGATAGCCCATTTGTCCAAGTTTCTGAAGGATACACGGACCTTGGCCAGTATGGCATGTGCAGCTGTTGTTGTTATGCTCATGTGGGCTTCTGCTAGCAGATTTGGAGTTATGGCGGCTATCAAGTATTTCTCTTTTACAGAAGGGGGAAGTTACCTTCCCTACTACTTCACCTAATATTCTTCTCGATGTACCAGCCTCTTACTCAAGGTCCCATAGCTGGCACTTGAGAGGAACAGTGTCGGAAGCGTTCCGGTAATCCAGGAAAATGCAGTTTGCCCTTCCCTTTGTATCGTGTGTGTTGACATCTTAATCGTAAAACTTTAATAAACTGCTCAAGTAGGATTTACCTTTACTAAATCCAGGCCTCCTTGTAATCAGTGCATCTAATATACGATACAACTACTAGCTAAAAATAAATATATATACAGGCTTCCTGTAACATACTTTGAAAATGAATTATTATTAATACCTTACATGGGATTCTTTTAGTAAAGCCAGTCTATATTACAGAGTTTTTTTATTTGTAAAATAAACATATTTTACTCATAACTTGTAATTGATTACATTCGATCTTATCTCGGAAAATACTTCACTAGTTCATGCCTTGCAACCTGTCCTCAGGCTAGGTTCGTCCAACCGGCCGTCGACCCCAAAGACACATTCGTCACATTTAACATTCAGTGTATTAAAAAAAAATTCTCAAATTTAAGTAAATATTATTATTATATACTAGAATATGTTGAATAATTAGCTTTAAGTACGATAAGTTACGTGGTTTTATTTATTTATTTATTTGCAAGATACCTGGTTGATACCTGGTTGATGGGGTTCTGGGAGTTGTTCTACTCCCCAAGCCCGGCCCGAGGCCAGGCTCGACTTGTGAGAGTTTGGTCCACCAGGCTGTTGCTTGGAGCGGCCCGCAGGCCCACATACCCACCACAGCCCGGCTGATCCGGAACTTCTCTTAGAAAACAGTCCAGTTTTCTCTTGAAGATGTCCACGGTTGTTCCGGCAATATTTCTTATAGTCGCTGGGAGGATGTTGAACAACCGCGGACCCCTGATGTTTATACAGTGCTCTCTGATTGTGCCTATGACACCTCTGCTCTTCACTGGTTCTATTCTGCATTTTCTTCCATATCGTTCACTCCAGTACGTTGTTATTTTACTGTGTAGATTTGGTACTTGGCCCTCCAGTATCTTCCAGGTGTATATTATTTGGTATTTCTCTCGTCTCCTTTCTAGTGAGTACATTTGGAGGGCTTTGAGACGATCCCAATAATTTAGGTGCATATCTCGTCTATGCGTGCTGTATATATTCTCTGTATTCCCTCTATTTCAGCAATCTCTCCTGCTCTGAAGGGGGAAGTGAGTACTGAGCAGTACTCAAGACGGGACAGCACAAGTGACTTGAAGAGTACAACCATTGTGATGGGATCCCTGGATTGGAAAGTTCTCGTAATCCATCCTATCATTTTTCTGGCTGTCGCAATATTTGCTTGGTTATGCTCCCTAAACGTTAGGTCGTCAGACATCATTCAGACAGTCATGCATCAGTCAAACATTCGACAGACATCATCAGAAGGTTCATTGGGGGTTGTTAGAGTTAATAACATTGGTGTTTTTACATTCATGCAAGGCATAGGGGCCAAAAGGGGCCTCGTAGCCTGGTGGATAGCGCGCAGGACTCGTAATTCTGTGGCGCGGGTTCGATTCCCGCACGAGGCAGAAACAAATGGACAAAGTTTCTTTCACCCTGAATGCCCCTGTTACCTAGCAGTAAATAGGTACCTGGGAGTTAGTCAGCTGTCACGGGCTGCTTCCTGGGGGTGGAGGCCTGGTCGAGGACCGGGCCGCGGGGACACTAAAGCCCCAAAATCATCTCAAGATAACCTCAAGATAACCATAGTGTTTCGGGCAGAAACGCTAAGCGGTTCTGCTTAGTTAGGTTGTGCTGGCAATTACTGGTATATGTAGTACGTGGCTCAAGCATTTAGAGAGGCGCGAGTAGAGCTGGACGTTAATGAAGCACTGCTCGAGAACAATACTTACGTCATCAGTTGTGAGTCGTGTGTAACGTGTTTATCCTCCATAAACAGCGGGTGTGGCAGATGGATTAACGATCATTTAGCGTGTGTTGATGAGGCCGGGTTGATGTTCGAGCTCAGCCTCTTAAAATGTTGCATCACTGTCAACCCGTCCTTAAAACACTGGCCAAATGCTCGCTAATCCAACAGCCGCCATCTTTGTTTATGAATGAACTGAACTTTTCTCCTGACTCACAGCTGAGTCAGCCTTTGATAAATCTCTCACTCTAACATCGATGAATAAAAGTCAAGAGTGCATGGTATGACAGACGGGCAAAAACAGTGGTAAACATAGAGAAGTGGAGATCATGTTATGTTGTACATACACTGAGAGTTGACTTCTGCTCCTGGAGTGTGTCGAGGACTATAGTGTTGCTGGTGGGGAGGTGGTCAGTAAGCTACTGTCTCGCCCTTCTTATCCCTTTACAGGTT